GCCCTCTCAATTCTATGTATCTCTTTTTTTTTAATTCTATGTATCTCTTAAATCTGTCTACCTCTCTCTATCTCCACTCCTTCCACCTTAGTCAACTCATTATCATCTCTGACTGCAGTGGGTTCCAATCTTGTCCACCTCCAATCCAACCCACAGCAACCAAGTTGTCATTGTAAAATCTTAAATATGCCATGCCAATCCCAAACCTAAAACCTTTCAATAAATACTTCAACATTTTTTGAACAGAAAGTGTCTGCTAAAGAGACACTTTTTCCTTATGATCCAGTTCACATATGATACAAATTGAGAAGTTTTATGACACGTACTTAACCTTTTCTACATGATCCTATGATACACTCTTACATTTTCTATTCTTTTCTCATCTGACTTCAGTACCTTCTCTAGTTTGACCCACATTTAAAATTACTCTTCAATCCCCGGTACCAAAAAAAAAAGTTTAATTTGTACCCCCTTTAAAAAATTACTCTTCACTACCTTTGCATTGTTTGAAAAATAAAATCTATTCTTTTTACCATGGCCTAGAAAGTCCTACATAATATGGTTCCTGCCTGCCTCTCCAACTGCATATCTCACCCCACTTGCCATTGACTTTCTATGCTCCAGTCACATTAGTCTTCCTGTCCTTGGGGGAATTGGTTCCACGACCCCCAGGCATGGACACAAAAATCCACAAATGTTCACAGTCCCTTATACAAAATGACATAGCCAAGGCAACATGGTGAGTTCTTTTGGGGGGGTGTTTTTGAGACGGGGTCTCACTATGTAGTTCAGGCTGCCCTTGAACGTACTATGTAGCAAGCTGGCCTTGAACTCACAGCCATCCTCCTGCCTCAACCTCCTAAATTCTGGGATTACAGGGATGCATCACCACACCCAGCAGGACCACATTTTTAAAAATGCATAGGACTGTATTGGCAAGGTATGGTGGTACACACCTGTAATTCCGGCACTCTGAAAGGCTAAGGCAAGAGGATTGCAAGTACCAGCCCAGCCTAGACAATTTAGCAATTTAGGGAGATTTTGTTTCAAAATAAAAAATAAGTGTTGGGGATATATAGCTCAGTGTAAAAATTCTGGGTTCAATTCCCAGTACCACCAAGAAGAAAGACATAATATTTGCAAATAATATGGAAATGGGTTTCATACTGTATTATTTAGGGAGTAATTACAACAAAAAAAGTCTGTACATGTTCAGTACATGCACAGTTTTTTCAAATATTTTTGATCTAAGGTTGGTTGAATCAGTGGATGTGACAGAGGGACAACTGTATGCCATTTTCCTTCCTAGGGCCTTCCCACTTGCTGTGTCCCCTGCCTGGAGCACTTTTGCCTTTGGTCATCATCTGTGGACTTTCATTCTTCCAGTCTCACCTTAAACATCAGGCTTTACCTGGCCCCTCAGGCTAAATCATCTCCAGACCCATTATTATTTTTCCTATCACTGTTCTGCTCTTTTAGAGACTTATCACAATTGGTAATTATGTGTGTCTATGTATTGTAATTACGTGTTTATTTCACATTCTCGTTAATAAAAGACTGTAAACTTGAGGGTGGTTTATTCATCACTGACTTGTTCAGGTCTTAGTACTGCACAGCTAGTGACTCACATGGAGCCTAGCCCATGGTTGTGCTCAGAAGACACTCACTGAATGAACTGAGATTTGGAGAACAAATGAAATGGAATTAGGAAAAACTGGAGAGAGTTGCATGCAGAGGCAACAGCATATGCAAACATTCAGAGGCTAGAGAGGCTAAGGAACAGCCTAAGAATTGCAGTTTTGACTCATGCATAGAATCTGGAAAAGCTAGCAAGGGGCCAGATTATGAAGGGCCCAGCTTAACTGTCCCTGTTAAGGAAGGTAAATTTCCTTTTGAGGCAGTGGGGATTCATTCACGGATTCTAAACAAGGGAATGATATGGTTTGATTTGCCTTTTCAAAAGATACACATTGCCAGCAGTGTAGAGAATAGATTTCAAGGAACAAGACTAGAACAAGGAAGCTGTGAAAGTATTGCAGGTTAGAAATGGTCCTGGCCTGCTGGGTGTGGTGGCATCAGCCTGTAAGTCTAGAACTTGGAGGCTGAGGCAGGAGGATTAGGAGTTCAAAGCCAGCCTGGGCTACATAGTGAGACTTTGTTTAAAAAAGCAAAACAAAAAAAGTAAGAAAGCAAGAAAGAGAAAGAAAGGAAGGGAGGAGGGAAAGCTATGGTAAACTATCCTAGGGAAGTAGCTGTAGTAACAAAGAGACTAAACAGATTTAGAAGATATTTAGGAGGTAAGTGACAGAATTTAGTAATGGCTTGTGAGATGGAGGAGAGAGAAGAGCCGGGGTATTGCTCAGTTTTTTTGCTTTGACTGGAGTCATTCACTAAGGTAAGGTGCAAAGAAGGACAAATCAGTTGGGAGGAGAATGGCTTGAGTTGGGGAAAGCTGAGGATTTAGGTGTTGCTGGCTGAGATATTAAGGTAAAGTTGTCTAATAACCAGCTGAATGTATGGGCCAAGAGAAACATGGACTTGAGGTGTCAGTTTAGGATCATCATCAAAGAAATAACTGAAGCAGCGAGAGCAAATGAGATAACTGAAGGAAAGAGCAGAGAGCAAAGAAGACATAAGAGTTCAGGCCAAATCTTTGACACTCTCCTATAATCTCAGAACTCTGGGAGGCTGAAGCAGGATTCAAAGTTTAAACCCAGCCTGGGCAATTTAGTCAGATCCTGTCCCAAAATAAAAAGGCCTGGGGATCTAGCTCAGTGCAAAAGCCCTGGGTGATTCAATCCCCAGTACAGCATAAAAAAAAAAAAGCCACCAATATTAGAGGTTGGACAAGGAGGAGTCTGGAAAGTAAAAAGGAATTACCAATCAATTGAGAATGGGATGTCTTGTAAGCAGTTTAAGGAGGAGGAAGTAGTCACCAGTGCCAAATGCTACTCAGAAGCCACATAGGATAATCTCTGAAAAGATTCTATTGGATTTGGTGACCATAAGTCATGGTGAACCTTGACAGGAGAGCAGTTTCATGCAAGTAGTGGAGCCAGATTGGAGTGGATGAAAGACAAGTGAGAGCGGGAAAACAAAGACAGTTTAATATAGGCAACTCTTTTGGAAAATTTGTAGAAAGAAGAGAGGGAGGTGTTTGGAGAGGGAGAATTTGGGAGTAATTTTTTTGGGGGAAGGGGGTAATTGTTTTTAGATGGAAGGGACCTGAGTGTGTTTAGAGTCTGATGGGAAGGAGCAAGGGACAAATTCCTAGGCTTGGTGGAAAGAAGTCAAGAGCTCCCCGCGGTGGCTTCTGTTTACTGTGTGAAGTAGGAGGTGGAGTCATCTGCTGAGGATTAGGAGGCACCTGGAGTTGAGAGTCTGAAGGGAGGGGAGAAAGTTTAAAATGGCCACTGTGGAGACTAGGAGAGGGAAAGAGGACTGGTAAGTCAGGGTGGGGAGAACAGGAGAGAGCTAATTAGTAGGGTTCTGGGTCAGCACTTAGGGCCCCATAGAAGCTAAGAAACATGGGCTTATATGGCACAAATCTGTGCAGTTAAATAGTTTTCTCCTGCAATGTTTAACTGCTTCTGCACAGGCATGGAAAAGGCAGATAGTTGGACTGATCCAAGGTTGGGATGTTGCCAGGGGCATTCAACAAACCAGGGAACTGAAGCTATCGGTAAGAGAGTGGAAAAGTAAAGGAGCAGGAGGTCTAAGCTGAACAAAGTCCTGGGTATCAAAGACAGGTCCGCTATGAGCCAAGCCCTAGGAAACCGAAGCATGTGGAAAGCCTTCTGGCAGAGAGGAGATGGGCAAGCGGGGTAAAGAAAATCTGAAATGAGATGAAAGGGCAGACTTGGGGGATTGAGCTCAGAGACTTGCCTGTGTGGAACCAGGAAGGGATTGGGAAGGTAGGCTGAGTGATCTTTTTTGTTTTGTTTTCTTTTTGTTTTATGAGACAGGTCTCGCTACATAGTTCAAACTTGCCTCGTACTCACAGCGATCCTCCTGCCTCAGCCTCCCTGAGTGCTGGAATTTACAGGCATGCGCCACTACGCCTTGGCAAGGTTGAGAGAATTTTTAAGGGGCAGAAAGCGGGCCTGGAGGGGGATCGCAGCGAGAAGTGAGGCGGCTTGAAGCGAGGGGGCGTGGTCAAGCACACATCCCGGGCAAAGGGGTGGAGCCCCAAGTAACTGGGTCCCAGCGCCGCTGTGGCTGCGGCAGCCTCAGCGGCGGCTCCCGCTTCCCCGCCCCCACTTTCCCAGGGTTTCTTCCCGCTCTTCGCCGCGGAGACCCAGGCTGATCCTGGACAGGACGGTTGAGTCCGGCCCAGGCCATTCCCCTAATCCCGCAGCTGGAGCCTGTCCGGGAGTACTGCCCAAAAGGCTACCCCGCAGTCCGAGGGCGCAGCGTACACGCGAACTACCAGGCCAGCGCCATCCTCTGTTTCCTCCCTTCCCTTCCCCTCCCTTCCCTCTCCTCCGCCCCCAGCCTCTGTAGCGGCGGGAGGAAGAACCCTTTCTGACCAGCCAGGAGAGCCCAGATAGATTCCCATTCCGAGAGAAAGAACGGACCCCGCACTCGGGTCCGACTGACCGCTCGCCCCGAGGCCACGGAAGTGGCTCGCCATCCTCTGCAGAGCCCGCACCTAGTGCAGCCCCCCGACCCTCGCTCAACCGCAGCCGCGTAGACAACGCTCCCCCGCCGGCCCCCAAACCACCCGACAGAGCCCTTTCCCCTCTTGGGGCCAAGGCCTGCGATGCCTGGCACAGCAGCGGCGGTGGCCGCGGCTGCTGCTGCTACTGCCACGGCTGCCACGGCTGCTGGTCCGAGTCCGGACCAGGGGCTGGAGTCTCCGCAGTGGGGCTGAGCCCGCAGCCCCGCCCCCCGAGCCTGAGGCCGCTGCTCCGCCGGGCGCCGGGCCTCCTCCGCCTGCGCCTCCGCCCCAGGAGCTGGAGCCAAGCGGGGAGCCCGGGCCCCGCGCCCAGGCCCGGACCATGCATGGCCACAGAGCCCCGGGGAGCGCCGGGCCTTCAGATCCCGAACACCCGACCACGAACCCCCCTGGCGCCGCTCCACCGGCCTGTGCAGACTCGGACCCTGGAGCCTCCGAAGAGGGACTGCTGGTGCGCAGGGGCTCGGGCTTGGTTCTCAGCGGCCCCCCGGAGCCCCAGTTTGCCGGACCCTCGGATGCCAGCCTGGGTGCTGCTGCAGGCCCCCGGGTTTTGCCCTGCGGCCCCAGTCCACAGCACCACCGGGCCTTGCGCTTCTCCTACCACCTGGAGGGCTCGCAGCCTCGGCCTGGTGAGTGATTGAGACAGCATGGGAGCCCGGGCCACAGGCCTGGAACTGGGAGCGGGTTCTTGTTCTTGGGCCCTCCAAACCCCACCTTGGGGCCGGCCCGTTCACCCCAGACCCTCCTCTCACTCATCCTTCTGCCTGCTGACCAGTCCTTTCAACCTCTGTCCCCTGTGTCCCTGAACCGTTTAGACCCCCTCCTATCTGCTGAGACTAATGGGAGAGGAAGCACTTCAAGAAAAAGCAGACTTGCAAAGCATCAGTGAGGATGTGTTTGGGGGAACAGGATGTGTTAGTGGTGGGAATAGGAAAAAAGGAGTCTTACATTAGGCAAGCACTTACACTGTGCAAGGCCCTCAACTGGGTGTTTTACATGGATTCTCATTTCAGCTTCAGTATTCCTCAATGAAGTAGATTATCATTGACCACATTCGTAGGTGAGGAAACTGAGGCTGAGTGAAGTTAAGTAACTTGTCCAAGGTCATACAATCAGCCTGGAGCCTAGATGCAAAACCAGATCTATTTGAGTCCAAAATCTGTGGTCTTTCCACTTCCCCAAACTGAAGCTGGAGACCATGAAAGTAATGCCAAGCCTTCTGCTTATGTGATTTTCTCCTGTACTATTCAGCAGCCCTGCAGTATGAATGGAAAAAAAAAAGTGGGATGGTGGATTGATCCAAGATTGGGATTCTGCCAGGTGTGTGTGGCAGGAGGACAAGGGAAGGAAGGAGTTGTAGGTGCTGATGAGAAAGAAAAGTGGGGATCAGGCTGAAGGGGCTGGTAGGTAGGGAGAGAGCAGAAAGATCAGAGGGGGCAGAAGCCAATTGTAGCAGAGCGGATCTGCAAAGGGCCTCAAAGTGGTTTGTGAGGGTAAATCAGGATGATTGCTCAAATTGCTGTTTCTAGTTAAGGCTGGGGCCAGAGACCACTGTCAGGAGAGGCCTTTGCTCTACACAGCCCTGAATGCCTCAGGAACACATCAGGGACACCTCCATTTGGGCACATTCTCATGTCAGCCATGGAAGAAAAGCAATACACATCTACCCTACCTTTCACTGGGACTGAAAGGGTTGTTTAAACCTCTGAGGGGCTGGGGATTTAGCTCAGTGGTTCCACCACTTGCCTCGAAAGTGCAAGGACCCGAGTTCGATCCCTGGTACCCCCCCCCAAAAAAAGAATATAACAACCCCTGAGGACTTCCAGGGCTCATATTCCAGGCTCTACAGGTCTTTGGGACCATAGCCTAGCTAGCAGGTAGCAGCAGTGAAACAAGCATGGGCAGGATGTGCCCCTTGCTGCTGTCATGACCTTGGGCTGTGGAATCTCTGAGACATTTCAGGGAGCTCCCTTGTAGGCTGGAGATAGCCAACTGACTCTTAATGCCCTACCCTCCTTGTTGCTTCTGCTGGCTTTCCAAACTCCCCTTGATATACGCTGTCTGGAGGGGGCTACTCATACTTGTTTTACCTGTAGTGTTGTCTTATAGATACTAAAACATCCATGAGCACTTATACCACAGGGTCTTTGCATTTGCTTTGCCTTTTGTCTGGTAGCTCTTCCCCTAACCCTCCACCTGGCTTGCTCCTCATCTTTCAGGTCTTAGCTCAAATGTCACCTCCTCTGAGAGACCTTCCCTGACCACTTTCAGTAGGGCCATTTGTGAATCTTCATCACAGCTGCCAGTGTGCATTTAATCCTTGCATTTAATACAGTCTGAAATTATCTTATTATATGTGTCTGCTTGTTTATTGTCTATCTTCCTCCAGTAGAATGTGAGCTCCTTGAGAGCATGGGGGTTGTGTATGTTTTGCTTACTATTGTATCCCCAGTCAATAGCATAGTACCTGGCACAAAGTAGGTACTCAATAAATCCTTGTTAAACAAATGCCTGAACAGACACTAAGGAAGAACATGTAGGTCCTCAGTAACTGTTGCCTAAGAGAAAGACTGAATTCCTGCCCTCCAGATATTCTTGGTCTGAGAGTCAGTAACTGGGAGTGTTCAGACCTCTAGTCTTTGACCTCTCTGATCAATACATGGTGGTGTTTCTGAGTATTCCCTCCCCCTCCACCAATCCTTCCAAATTACAAATCACAACATCCTTCCCAAATCACTCCCATTCTCCCCCAAAAAGTATTCCCAGGATGCATTTCTCTAGTGAAGTTCACACCTCTGTAATTGCATGATGGGTATTTTTTTTAATCCAAAATGAGCATTGGGAATAAGAAGTGTGTCAGGGAAGGACCTGGTCTCCTCCCACCCATTCATAACTGACTCATTGTGAACCTAGGTGAGTGACTTCTCTCTGAGCCTCAATTTCCTTATCTAGAGAATACTTTGAGGAGGTAGGAGATACAGTATTGGGTACAAAGCCTTCAACAACCAGGAGTTTAAAAAATAAAAGATAAGAGAGAAAAACCTTCTGAAGAAGAGGTGGAGGAATTACTCAAACATTGGCAAGATGGGCACTGGGCCATGTGATTCACAGCAGCATGGGTTTTGAGAGGCCTACCTCCCCCACTGGCCAGTCAGCCCAAGGTTAGGCACAAGTGACTTGCTTCTCTCTCCACAGGATTTGCCTATAATTGGCCCAAAGAGGGCAGGGTTGGTGGTTGTAGGGTGTGTGTGTGTGTGTGTGTGTGTGTGTGTGTGTGTGTGTGTGCTAGAGGGAGAGAAAGAGGGAGGGAGGGTTTCCAGAACTTCAATTAAGGGGTTGAAACATTTTAGTCCACATGTTAAGCTTTCCTTGTGCCTGCTGGCTTCCTCTCTCAGACTGCTGAAGCCTTTATTGAATCACCATCCTTAGATCCCAGTGGCCCATCCTTCAGGGGAGGTTTTTCAAAATAATAATTATACCTTATCCATGTAAAGAGCCTTGAATTGCTTCCAAGTCCTTTTTCTTTTAGTTGTCCTGTCCAATTCTGGTAGAGGGAGGGACCATTGCTATTATGCCCATTTTCCAGGCCAATAAAACCTAAGGCTTTATTGAGTCACTGGATTTAGCCAGCAAGGTGACAGAGAAGGCTTTGAGAGAGTTGGAAAGGGGTTTCCAAGTACAGGTTTGCACACAGGGATTTGGTGTTATCCTACCTATTTCCCAGGATTGAGGCCAGGTACTGGGAGTTTGGAGGAGCTTGGGTCCGGATTCTAAGTCAGTCAAAGGAGTTGTACCTGATGTTACAGCCTTTTTGTGTGGTAGTGGGAAAAATTGAGCCAATTTGGGGGATAGCAGATAAGCTGGCTCCTTCTGATTTGGAGACTGGGGCATCTTCAAAGACCCTTACGGATTAAAAATGCCTTCTAACTTGGAAGTTAAAAGTCCCTAGACACTGTCTCATTCTGGGTTTCCCAAACTCAATGAACATCAGAATCCCTTATTGACCTTAAAAATATTATTCCAAGATTCTACCTTGGAGTTCCAGAGTCTTGGGGTCAGAACCTAGAAATCTAGTTTTAAAAGATTCTGGGTGACTCTGATGCACATCCTAGAGTAGAAACCACGGGACAAACCCATTTTCTAGTTGAGGCAGTGGAGGCCCAGAGAGGCAGTGATTGATTGATTGATTGACTAGAGGTGGTGATTTAGCCATGATCCTGCAGTGAGTCATTATGCATCTGCCTTCTCCTGTGAGGCTCTCTCCCCAGGGCCCTTTGTGGGATTTTCTCAGTCCCAGCCCAGAAGGGAGGTATGGGATCTAAGAAAAAAGGAAGTTAGTCAGTCTCTCATCCACATACACATAAACACTGACTGCCTCAGTTTGCCTGTAGCCCTAGCTGGTGAATGGCTGCCACTTAGCATTTCCAAGTTAGAAGCCAGCTACAGTTCTGGAACTTTAGGCAGAGTAAATCCTGACAACAGCAGTGTCCAGCACAGGACCTGGCCCAAAAGAAGGGCTCTATAGTGATACCAGGCAGTTCAGGTAGGTTTGGTGGAAGCAAAGGCATGGTGACATGGAGCGGGGGGGGGGGGGGGGGGGGGGGGGGGGGGGGGGGGGGGGGGGGGGGGGGGCTGGTATTGGGATGAGTGGCAAAGGGCCTTCTCCTGATAGCAAATAGGAACCATTGAGGGGTTTATCAACAGGGAAATAATGTGTTCAGATGTGTTCCCATTAGGTGCATATGAAAAATGGATGGAAAGGGTTCTGGAGTGGAAGCAGAGATACAGACAGGTGGGTGTTGCAGTCATTCCAGTACTAGGTGATGATAGTTCAGGTTAGAGTGGCAGCTGGTAGGGAAAGTAAGATCTGAGAGATATTTCTGTGCTCAACAGACTTTGGTAGTGGCTTGGATGTAGAGACCAAAGAAGAGTGAAAAGTCCAGATAGCTGCCGGTTTTCTGACACCAACTAGAGTGACCTGATGGATAATGGTGGGGCCATCTACATGCAAGAGAAGGAGCAGGTTTAAGGAAATGTAGTGAGTCATATTTGAGACCTACTGGATTTGAGAGGAATGGGGGGGCATCAAAGTGGAGATAGCCAGCAGGCATTTGGGTGTAGAATTACAAATTTCAGGAAATAGTTGCAGGGCAGAGATGTTTGGCAGTTTTCATTACCAACACATGCCATGGCCCACATGGTAGCTCATAGGGAGAGTGTGCATGGTTCTGAGAGCCAGTGCATCCTTGAAGACAGTGAGGTCAGCACAATCACATTCAGGTGGATCATTCACTACCTACCCAAACTTTGCCTTAGAAATGCCTCTTTTGGGGGAGGGAGTGGAGTGGTTTTTAAAGCATATTTGTGTGGAGCTGAGACCCATTTCACATATACCCACCCAGGGTAGCTGACCTTTGCAAGGACTGAGGTAGTACTCCTGAAAGGCAAATCAAACATTAGTGAATTCATGTGGCCCCCTCAATGCTGTTCGTGCTCAGGCCATCTAAGAAGCCACAGAGGGAGTTTACTCATGGAAAGGAGAAGAGGAGGCTCCAGACAGGAGGCAGTGGTAAGCTCTGCAAGGATTTTTTGGAAAGCAGTAGTTGAGATTTCAGAAGAGTGTTTAGGG